AGTGATAACGGTGCTAATGATAACTCCATCTATTAAGATAATCTAATAATACTCGCTGATAATATCGAATGATATTGAATAATATTCGCTGATAGTATCGAATGATATTGAATAATATTCGCTGATAATATCGAATGATATTGAATAATATTCGCTGATAATATCGAATGATATCTGTCTCTTATACACATCTAGATGTGTATAAGAGACAGATATTGAATAATATTCGCTGATAATATCGAATGATATCTGTCTCTTATACACATCTAGATGTGTATAAGAGACAGATATTGAATAATATTCGCTGATAATATCGAATGATATCTGTCTCTTATACACATCTAGATGTGTATAAGAGACAGATATTGAATAATATTCGCTGATAATATCGAATGATATCTGTCTCTTATACACATCTAGATGTGTATAAGAGACAGATATTGAATAATATTCGCTGATAATATCGAATGATATCTGTCTCTTATACACATCTAGATGTGTATAAGAGACAGATATTGAATAATATTCGCTGATAATATCGAATGATATCTGTCTCTTATACACATCTAGATGTGTATAAGAGACAGATATTGAATAATATTCGCTGATAATATCGAATGATATCTGTCTCTTATACACATCTAGATGTGTATAAGAGACAGATATTGAATAATATTCGCTGATAATATCGAATGATATCTGTCTCTTATACACATCTAGATGTGTATAAGAGACAGATATTGAATAATATTCGCTGATAATATCGAATGATATCTGTCTCTTATACACATCTAGATGTGTATAAGAGACAGATATTGAATAATATTCGCTGATAATATCGAATGATATTGAATAATATTCGCTGATAATATCGAATAATATTGAATAATATTCGCTGACAATATCGAATAATATTGAATAATAATAGCTGATAATATCGAATAATATTGAATAATATCGAATAATATTGATTAATATTGAATAATATTGAATAATATTGAATAATATCGAATAATATCAAATAATATCGAATAATATTGAATAATATCGAATAACATCGAATAATATTTTACGTCGAAGTGTGGAATGTCATAAAAGACATACCAGAGACATCTACACATGTGAAGGAATTAACGAGAGAACTTCGCAGTACATCGTTCACAAAAAATATACAAAAACGAATCCCGATCTGTTAATAGCTGTCAATCGATTCCAACCGAACGATCCGCCTACAAGTTCGACAGCGAGTGAACAGGAACAACGTTTTGGTTTCAGAGCCCTCCACATGAAGGAGCACCCGGACTACAAGTACCGTCCCCGCCGGAAGCCGAAGTCGTTGGTGAAGAAGGAGAACAAGTTCGGGTTCTCGATATCGCCGCTGATGTCCTCAGGTGAGACCCTGAGCAACATATCGAGGGGTCTATTGCCGCCGCTGGCGCCGCCCTCGCACCACACGCTGATGAGCCACGAGGACCTGAAGATCCCCCGGTTCTTCCCGCCGTTCCCGTATCCCCTGTACCCGATCCAGCACAAGCTCGGCGAGGAGTTCAACGGCGGCAAATTGGCGGCGGATCTGGCGTTCCAGGCCCTGTACGGTGGTAGCACGTTCTACTCGAGCCACCAGACGATGTCCTGGCCCAGCCTGTCGACGGCGGCTTGCCTGCAGCCGAACTGCGGTTGCCCGAGTCCGCCGAAAGACCCGAAGCGGTCGTACCTGCCGACGAAAATCGAAGAGAGACCGTTCCCGAGCCCGGGGAAGCCGGAAGAAGACAGCTTCCCGTCGGACAGAGACTCCAGCAGAGAGGACTCCCGATACAGGAAGGCGGAGGAGGACAGTTTCTCGCCGTCCGTGGACAGGCATCAGGAGGACAGGTCCCAGGACGACCGTTTCTCGTCGTCGTCCTCGTCCTCGCCGACCGAGCAGTCCGAGAAGATCAGCCACACTGCCCCGCCGACTAGCCTGTCCACGTCGACCAAGGTCGAGAACTCGTTCTCCGTTCAGAACCTGACGTCCTCCAGCTCGAACTTGGGCGCGCACCGCGGCCATGTCATATGAAGGCCGCTCCCGGTTCTCCCGGACTTCAACTTCCGGGGGAACCTGGTACCACCTGGATGGCCGACCACAGACTGGTGGAGGGTGCCGCCGATGCTCTCGCCGATCCCCCAAGCCACCGTCACGAACCTCACCGCGCCGAAAGAGGACGAGGTCCAGTTCCAGGACGGACAGCAGAGGAGCTCCGTGATGGCCAGATCGAGGACTATCCACATCGCCAATGTACAGTGATTCCTGACGGCGGGGAGAACAGACGGAGGGGATGATCGTGGAGGGACATCGACTGCAACCGATAGCGAGTGCAATGAATGTGGAAGCAACGGAACCGCGTCGGAGGGACCCGAGGAGATCTCTTGTGTTTTGTGATAGCGTGGTAGCAAACGCCTCTGACACGAACAGTTCGCTGTCGCAAGGAATCGACGATGAAGTGTTTGGACGCAACGGGGGACGGTCGAGTGCAAAGACCAGGGTCTGGACACCTTCTAAGAACCTGTTGCGTTGTGTGATAATTCGAACGCCGTCTTTTCTACGATGAGCACACGACGAGCCCCCGATGTCCGGGGCGCCGTGGTCCGTTAGCCGTTCGTCCGCAGGAAGTCGCGGTTTTCCGGGCGGAACGCGTTCTACCCCTTTCGTCGGCTCGAGGCAAAGGGGGGGCTCGAGCGAAAAAGGGGGCCGTGGGTAGGGGTCCGCGTTGCATTCGCAAAGAATTCGTTATGCGAGCGGTCGGCGTCGCCGCCGGTGGGACAGGAAAGCCGAATCGATAACTCGCCACGGCCGAAATCCCACAAAGAGAGAGGCGAAAGGGTCTTTTCTGGTAAAGCGTGTACACAGAGGCGGCGCAGGATGCCAGAAGAGTCCAATTTTGATGAGATAACCAACCCTCTCGTGGCACATATTACCGCACACGCGAGCCAAAGCGGGAGAGGACCGACGGCGCGAGCACCCACCCACACGGGAGAGGACACGTACAGACGGGCGCACATAGACGGCCGCGCGCACATGCACGGGGATAGAAAGAGCGGGCTCGTAACGCGGGAGGAGAAAAAAAACCTCTTCGGGAGCGGAGGCAAATCTCTTCTTTGGGACGCGGCCATGCGAAATAAGCCAAACATTCTGAATGCTAACGTAGATGCGACAGCGGACCTGTGTACGCGTTCCAAACCACCCCCTCGCGGCCGGCCCCGCGCGCGAGATGATTTCATTGCGTCGCGGTGGCCAGCGTTGCGCATCGATACTGCAACTCGCCAATATTTTCTCTTTCTTTGGTGCAGCCCCTACTCGGCCGCAAAGTTCCCCTCGTTTCTCTTCGCGCCGTTTCTCTCCGCCTGTAATTGCTTGCGCGATCGCGGGGGATCCGCTCGCGCGACGTTCGCGTTGCGGAGGAACGCTCGCGATATTTCGCTGTTGTTGCGTTATCTCGGTGCGCTTTAACCATCGGATGGCGGGTCCATTTTAACCCAGAGTTAAAAAGATTCCGTCTGAACGCTGATTTTGTGGCAGTCGTTTGTAATTATCGACTGTTAATATTGAGTCGAATAAAAGGGTCAACTTTGGCCTTCGATGAAACAGGTTTAAAAATATACAAATGAATAGAAGATTTGAATGGACCCAGCCACCATAACTACTCAAAAATGTCCGCCGTCCAAGGGATAAGCTAGAAACATACTAATCTCGCGTTCAACGTGAAATCGTGCGACACTCGAAGACTGTGAGTCGGCTTATTTCCGTCGGATTGTTGCGAAAGTAATTTCGATCTTTTTTTTAAGCTATCTATTTGAAAAATCGAAATTATTTTTGCAACAATCCAATATTATTTCAAATCTGTTGAAAACAGATCGGTATCACCACACGCTGATCGTATATTGTCACGCGTGGACGGATTTCATTGCTATGATTTCACGCGATTTCACATCATGTGACGTTAGTATGTTTCTACACTTAAAGCCCTGCACTAAGATTTCGTTCACAACCTCGGCGATTTGCATCTCACTTAACCCTTTGCACTCGAAGCCGATTTAACTTTAAATGTAAAACAGTTAAATTTATGTGACTTACGGAAATATAAATGTATCATATTTATATTAAATTTTATATGACTTACGGGAGAACTGATGCACACCGAATTTGATGAAACTCTGCACACGCGGTTAACAGCTTAACTAGTTGCCAAAATTGATCCTTCTTGTAATATATTCGGACTAAATGAATTTTTCTAAAATGCAAAAGAGTTAAAATACCAGCCGTTATGATCAATTTTTCATGGCTAAATTGTTAAATAGATCTTTTGAACACTCGAGCAAATTTTCATCAAAATCGACGCCTCCTCGCGCCAAAATCACGCGAGTTATGCATGTGAATTTGTATCTTTTAGGCAACAATTACACTCTGAACAGTTTTTCGAATATAAACGTTGATAATATAAAAGTTATTTTGTCGAGTCACCACTCGAGTGCAAAGGGTTGATAATTTCTCTGATGGAAAGAGACAAATGTTGTATCTTATGAGTTTTTTATTTTCATTTCGAGACTTCGATAACAGAAGAATCTGTTTCGCTTTGGAAGAAATGAAAAATATCTTCGTCGCGAGTCTCATTCGTTGTTACAGCACAAGGGATTAAGAATTTCTTTATCTTGATGGGAAATATCGATTTTTAGGCATTCTGTTTTGAGACGGGAAGGTGCGATTTGTTTGGAACTCTGTTTCGATGTTTGCAGGCATTTGTTGAAGTTACTTTGGCAATAATTTCGAGAACATCGCGGATTCTAACTCGAGATTTTATAGAGAAGTTTCTCCGAAGTTAGATGCTGGAAGATTCTGCGAAGGGAGATCGATCGTTTTCACCAAGGAAGAGAAACTCCTCCTTGATTGTTTTCTTTTTCTCTTAGACCATGGACATTTGTTCTATGTTGAGTTGTTATAAGTTTCGTCGTGTAAATAATTGTTGAGACTCAGGACGGTGGTTTCTGTGAGAAAGTTCGTCCTAACGAAACGAACAAAGGGGTAAAGTGCCATATCGTTCGCGTCTCGTTTCACGTTTGCGTCTAAATTCTGTGATCGCTGAGCGAACCGATCGACGTGTGTTCAAGTATAAAATACTTTACGCTCTAATTCTGTAAAATTTATTTAACACGCGTGAGTCTTTTCACGGAAGTGTCGACCGTTTTGTAAGCAACCGCCCCGACAGAAGCTATCCCTCGTTGACGCGGAATAAACAACGGCGACAGGGCTCGCGCGAAAGCCGCGTAGCCCTTCCCGGATCTCCAGGAAAATATGGTGTGTAATTAATTGAAAGGTATGCAATTAATGCGACAGTCTATAATCACGGTCGAACAGGGACACCGGGTCCGGGCGCGAATAATCGGCCGATAGGAATAAAACCGTTCAATCTCGCGCAAATTGTTTGCATTCTACCGGCGAATTGTTGAATTCGTTATGAACCGGCCGGGCATTGTCGCAGTTTTATCGGAGTCGATTTTTCCGCGATCGACGCGCACACCTGTCCGCGTTTCCGAAATGTTGCGCGACGGCTACGTGTGTCGATCCCCCGCATTTTCACCGAAAATTCGACACCGACGACACAAAAACCGACGCGTGCTGTCAGCAGACCAGAATGGAGACTAATTTCCCGCGGACACTTTCGTCCATAGAAAGAGAGAGATACAGAGTGAGAAAGAGAGAGAGAGAGTGAGAGAGAGAGGAAGAGAGAGAAAAATGTATACTAAATCGTAACGATCGTAGGAAATCGGCGCGCGTCCCGTGACACGTTGCGCGATCATGCCAACGGGAAACGCACGCGTTAAGCTATAATGTAAAGCGTATCTATAAAGGATAGATAAACACATATCCTCCCAGTTATTCACGTAAGTTCCTCGGCCATCGTTCGTGTTGCCGTAATGAACGAAAACGAAGATAGTAGAGACCGTATAATCCGTCGAGTTTCACATTTTACTCGGAAACGCGGCTGCGTTCCCGCCAACCCCCTCTCACCGACACGTCACGCACGTAATTATTGTTAATTATTGCTGTAATATAACGCGACGTTTGTAAATAAATTGAAACTTAATCGACAAGCCCATTATTTTCATTTCCAGCGGCGTTCTCTTCGAGATATTAAATCGCGAAACGTAGACGTAATTTCCAGAATTTTCTACTTCGACTTATCTTCGCGAGAAAATGAAAAATTGACAATTAAACCGCGGATTTTTTGCATTTAGAACAACGTTTTTACGTTTAAAACAACGGAAACATTTAAAGAATTTAAAGATACTATTGAGATAAAGAATAACAAATTAAAAAGAAAAAAAGAGAAATTAGAGATAAATTAAAAAATTTGAAGATACTCATTACAATTATTAAGAAAACAGATAAATGTCTGTTAGGCTCCTGCATCTTGCAGCCAATTTAGACAGTTTTCAATTTACATAAAAATGAATTATATTTATATACAATAAAAAAAGTCATCATCATACAATCTCTAGTTGTACCGTTTTATAAAATTCTAATTAAAAAGGAGAATACTTCGAATCACTGAGAAAATCTAATTTGATATCTTCAAGATTAAGTATCTTTTCAAGGATATTCAGGATTGTACTTCAATGATGATCTCTTCGCGTCGTTTTCGGATCTTACCTTGATCGAATACGAAAACCTTTGGTCGCGTTAATTTGATTCACTCAGTCCGTTGTCTCTGCGAGTATCGCGGTTAAAAGTCACTCAATCGACAGATTAATCTTTGCAGTGCATTGCATTCCATTACGGTTGTCCGCAATTCGCAGCAATATTCTATCATAACCAGTAAAACATCGTGAATTATTCATACGGTGGACGAATCAATTCGCGGCGCGTTCCATGGAAATAGGTTCCCGCAGGTCCTTGACACGGAGCCCCCAAAAGAAGCCGATAGGGTCGAGAGTATCCACGAAGACACCTACGAGCTCGCAGGACTAATCGGAGGGCATGTGGAGGAATCGTCGCCGAGGAAAATCTCTGGAACGAGAGCGGAGGGGAAAGCCTCGACGATCCTCCCCTTGGACCCTCGAGCAACCCCTCCGTTGCGTCGTGTTTTATTTCTGATAGCGACGCCTCCGTCGCCGCGGCGAGGACATTATCGCCACCGCGAAGGACCCTTTCTTCCCCCATAAAGGCAATCACGCTTTCTTCGTGGCGAGATAACAGCAGAATGGAGAGCCAGAAACGTCTCCGTGCACACGGGCGAATTTCAGGACGATTCTATAATTCTTCCCGCGACGGTGCGGTCCTTTCAACTCGGCCCGAGCATTTTTCAAAACTATTCCTCTCGATCCTAATAGAATCGATAAAGAAGTGACGCTCCGCGAGTAGACTTTCTTCGCTTGAAAAATCACGCGATGATTAACCTCTTGCACCGTGACGTCGTGCCAGACTCGTTACCAAGATTTGGGACACGATCTACTAACTATGGATATTATTCTCGCGTCTTTTAAGTTTAATCATAATTCTACCGACGAATATTTAAACATTAAAGTAATGATTGACGTACGATAGACGTACATTGATTAATTACAAACGTTAATCAACGTAGTTGTGCAAGAAATCGTAGTGTAACGGGTTGGATAAGCGATCATTAGACTGAGAATTTTTATGAATATATTACAGAAATGTGTAGGTGCAACACAAAATAAAATCTTTTATTCCATCATAACTGTGTTGTGATTTTAAATAATTGTTTGAAATGTAAGATTATATGTAAGATTATAAAAGCCTCTGTAATGCTGTCATGTTTCCTGTACGAAGCACGTATGTCGTACAAATTTCGGAACAACTCAAAAACTAACGATGCTATTGAGACCCAAAAATTTGAGAATATAATTTGAACATTCTAGAACATCGTTTCCTTGATTAAAACTTGATATTCTATATAATATATTTAATGTACTTTTCCAAGTATATTAACCCTTTGCACTCGAAGCCGAAGCCCACGGTTTTCTCTTTTTATATGACCTGATGCATTTTATGCATATGAAGTTGAATATTGTGGCGCATGCAACAGTTGCGGTTTCAACAGCTCTTTAATTTTATGAATCAAATTTGTTTATATTTATTCTGAGACGTGACATAACAATTTTTAACGGCGCCTCGGAGTCGCCACTCAAGTAAAAAGGGTTAAATCAATTGTTAATTTCACTTTTTCGAAAAAAAAGTGTAGGCCATTTTGATCCTGTGTGACAGCGAAGGGTTAAATTAGCCTAAAGTGCTAATAATTATTTTCAGAGCGCCGCAAAAACTTGCTCTTTCCCCTAAGCCCTTTGTGTTCCTTCCGAGAAAAACCTCGGAAAGTCCGCTGGTAGAGCAATTCGCAGAGAAGAGAAAAATGGAAAACGCAGGTCCCGGTTTTTCCCACAAGCGTTACGTTTAGCCCCATTTGCAAGATGAGTCCGCGGTCGAGTCTGCCGTGGAAGTCCCTCGGAAAAATCCATCGGGTTACAGCGATTCTGTCCCGGCAAAAGGGAAGAACGTCTTCGTAGAGCGAGAAGTTTTCCACGGGGCGCACAAAGCGCGGTGCAGAGCGAGGGCGGCCGCGGGGGTGGCATCGACTACTGGCTGGCCAAAGGAGTCTAGGCGCTCTCCATTAGTATGCGCGGAAGTGCTGCTCGCTCGATTGTGGCAGGTATTGTCGGGGAAGAATGTCCTCGTTGCTGAGGCTCTGTACCAGCGGAGACTGCCTTTGGGTAAGGAGGCACGAATCCAAGTCAAATGTAATCACTTTCGAATCGGAACACCCACCGCGCGGAACGCGTTCCACCACGGTTCTTCGTCGCTTCCGCTCGTTCCTCGTGCTCTTCAGGGTTTTAAGCGTATCGGACCGTGTTAGGCTCGATCTCGGACCGCTGTACAGGGTGTTTCATAATTCGTGCTACGAATTGTTTCGGGTAGATTCTAGACGAAAGACAAGAATAACGAAATTGCTGGGGAGGCTTCGTTTTCGAGGAAATTATTATTAGTTATTATTATAATTATAATCAGTCGAATGCATGCATTCTGAACAATATCCTGACTGATGATAATAAACTAAATTATAGACGAAAGTCAAGAATAACGAAACTGCTGGGGAGGCTTCGTTTTCGAGGAAATGATTATTAGTTATTATTATAATTATAATTAGTCGAATACATGCATTTTGAACAATATCCTGACTGAAGATAATAAACTAAATTCAACGAGAATGATAGTGAACAAAGCAAAATAATTGTATGCAAAATAAAAATGTGATAGAATTGTCTAAGAGGAACCCAAAACTTTTTCAAGACAGTCAGGTGACTCCACCTTTCGAACGACACCCTCCTTTCGCCCCCCAGGACACGCTCGTGTCCTCGAGAGCAAGAAGAGCCAGGGGGTGAGGAAAAGAAGGCGGCGCGTCGCTAGACATGTTAATTGCGTCGGTGCGTAATTATATAAGCGCTTTTGTAGGCGCAGTCGGGCCGAGAGAGGGCCGAGCTTGTCGCGCGAATCGTTTGATTGCGGAAAATGACGGGCGACGATGGCGCGAGTGGAAGTTTTGAGTGGGCGTCGGTCCTGGCAGACAATGAGGCATTCAGGGCTGGCATTGTCGGGCCGACAACTGCGTTACCGTAGACAAACCCGAAATCACCGGCGCTATCGCCGTCCCAGATCCGATTATGCAAATAATAAAATGCAGTGAAACGGGGGTTGCATCGGAGGAGCATGAAAAGAGGGTGGGCGAGAAGTTTGTTAATGGCGCCCGGTGTCGCGTGATCGGGCCCCGCTGTCTTATCCTTCGTTTTTCACGCTCGTTACGGGACCTCGTTTCTATTCTTTCACCCTCGAATTAACGACTACCCCGGGGTGGAAGTGGTATCTTCGCGGTCCTCGACCGTACAGACGTAAGATACAATGAAACAAAATTTGGAGTGATTGCGTGTTTAAGAACTGTTCGAATGAGAAAGAGCAGGTGTCTGATTTCGAATTTATTATAATAAAATATTTAATAGAATAGAACAGTTGTGATTTTTAGACTATTTTTTTATCGCGATTCACAGTAGAATTTTTAGAATAATTGAAAGAAATCACAGAAATAATTGAAATTAATCAGTGATTTACATTCACAAATTTATTAAGCCAGAAGTAAGATGAAGAACGCGTTAGAATAACCAACGATACTGTTGACAAATTCTGTATGCTTGAAGAAAACTTTCATTTCATTCAATCATTTTAATTTAATAAAAAATCTTGTAATATTATTTTCTTTGTACTTCATTTTCTCGTATACGAAATTGATGTTTACCGAGTGTCTACATCCACTTTATTGCTTATACATTAACAACGAATGAATAACATTCTATTTAGATTGAAAAGAGATGCGCAGAATTTTCGTACTTAATAAAAAGATTTAATCAACCACACTATCCTTCTACCTAACATCATTGTCATACCGAAACAAAGAACAAGCAGACTTTTTGAATAACCTAACAGTAAATCTCCGTGAATATTTGCAGTATACTGTGTGCATAACGGAAAACGCAGAAAATCCAGTGACCAGTCCGCGCCGTAAAAATAAATTCGAGATCCCCGAAACCGTCAGGCAACGATAATTAGCCGACAGGCACCGCCGGATTACGCGTGTCAAGGCGAATCAATAGGCAGAAGTGGGTCGTCGTAAGGTATTCGTCTGGAAACTAGGTAACAAGGGCGATCATTGGTAGAGACCGCCGGAAACGAGGCCGTGGACCGTAGCTATGAACCGCACCGGTTAGAATACCAGGTATAATTATGCATTAAGGGTCGTCAAGTCCGGCTGAAGTTGGTGAACTTGGTTAATTAGGAACGGCAGTCAGACGCCGCCGTCGCATTGTCCGGCACTGTTGACTTCCGGCCTCTTCTCACCGCCTCCGAACCGGGCGCTAGTCGGCGCGGGTTGATTGTTTCATTGTTTCCGACCCCACTGTCAAATGCCACCGCGTTGAATGGGGTTATTGTTGTTTCAGGCCGCGGCGCAGGCAATCCAAGGGTTTTCATGATCCCACCCGACTCGCAGTTTAATGCGCAGGCATGCCGACTTCGAGGTAGCTGGCAA